TTCAAATATATCATCCGATATATATAATTACACATTATATGAAATATTGATCTAAAATTATATTATACATTATTTTTTGGGGCGGATTTATGTATATTTTATAGGATTTTTTTATATAACAATTTTCACATATTAAAACCACATTTATATTTGGAATATTTAAAATCAATATGAGAAACGGAAAATCCAAAGTCATATATCTAATGAATATAATTATTTAATATAAAGATTTTCCGAGTTGATAAAGCCTCTGATTTTAAATTATTTACTTTCAAGAAGAGTTGCATGTGAATTGAAAAGTGAGAGGTCAAAATTGATTGCAAATATATTCTCTTAACATTTCTCTCAATTCCCTGTCTTTTATTCTCTCATTTCTCTCTCCTATGTTGATTCCCTCTTCTTTCTCTCTCATTCCCTCTCTTCTGGCTTTCTCTCTCATCCCCTCTCTTCCGTCTTTCTCTCTCATCCCCTCTCTTCTGTCTCTCTCTCTCTCAACCCTTCTCTTCTGTCTCTCTTGTGTCACATGACATATGTAAAATACAAAGATAATTCATATTTCTTATATTGTGAATATCAAATGCTTTAACATTAAAAAGTGGTAATGAAAAAATACAGTATAAACAGTAAAAAAGATAAGTACCCTTTATGGATAGGGTGCCATTGCTGAGAGTACTGTTTGTAAATGGTTCAATAGCTTCAGGGGTGAAAATTTCAACCTGAAAGACTGAGAACATTCCACTAGGCCTGCAGTCATAAATGATGTCCAAATCTAAATTCTCATAAAAAATACTCCACGTTATATAACATTACTTGACATCACAGAGATAATCCACATATCTCATGACCATTGCAATGATTTTGAAAACACTTGGTTATGTAAATCATGTAGATGTTTCAATGTCCTTGAATTTAATACAAAAAAAAAAAAAAAATTTTAAATGGACTGAGTTCCCATCTGTGATTCTCTGGTCAGATACAACGCAAAATTACCCAATCACAGATGATTAAATGGATTGTTTACAAAAATATGGAGCAAATAAATGCTGAGAACAAGATATGATTCACTGTTAACTACTGCAAATATTAGTCTATATCTGAAGAAGGTGATGTTGTGTTTTTCTGGTGGGCCTGAAAGGGCACTTGAACATTACAAACACCTTTCTGAGATTGAATTTCAGACAAGTATTGTTCCTAACTGGACCAGTTAAAAGGTAACAATTGATGAAAAAATTTTGTTGCCACTTGATCTTTTCAAAAATCCTTCATCTACCCATTTACTTCCCATTGCCTTTTAGTTTAAGTGGATGCCATTTGAAGTTCAAACTTTCGAAAGGAAAACATCCAGGTGGACTATCAAACAAAACTCTTATTATCAAGATAAAACCCTTGCTTCCCTTTGTATGTGGGTTAGCCATAGAATCACAATAGATAAAAACCCCTTCTTCCCTTTCTATGTGGGTATCCATAGAATCAGAATTGATTGCTTACAATAATGTTGTATAAAAAAAAATGAGAAAAAATGAGTCACCATTAACAACTTCAAATGCTGGTCTACATCCAAAGAATTGATGGAATTAGAAGGGTATTGTGTATTACAAGCTTCTTCCACAAAATCACACGCTGAATTTGAACTAGTAATGTTCATAGACTGATTAAGAGCATCACTTGATGAAAAGATCTGGAAATGGCCAATCAAAAGTGTGTAGTCTTCTGTTAGGACAATGCTCTCTATAATGTCTCTTTGATACCAAGCAGGAATTGGAACAGCTTGACTGGAATGTCATCCTCCATCAGCCATATTAACCTGAGATTGCACCTTTGGATTTCCACTCATTTCATTTCCCACAAAATTTCTCTTAATATGCAGCACTTTAATTCTTAAAAAACATTTAGATTAGTTCATCACCCAGAATGCTGTCAAGTTCTAGGAAGATGGAACAGAGAAGTTGCCTCAAAGATGGTGAAAGGTAGTGGAATAAAATGGCACTTGGAAAGTCAATTAAAAAAGTTACAATTTCAATATTATTTTTAATTATTTCACTCCAAGAAAGGTGATAATTCCACTAAGATGTAAGTGGATACAGAGTGAGAAAGAAGATGAGAAAATGTCATTGAGGAGAAAGGACAATAAAAGAACTGAATTCAGAATTACAGAAGAGGGTGATTGACATTTCAAATAAATTTTTGAAGAATGTAGTTGACGGGAAAGCAAAAAGCCACAAGAGACTGCCACAAGTGTAGGAGAAAACTGTTGGCATATAACTTATGGTTACATCTAGCTATTTCAGTAGTAAAATGAGACCTCACTGCCAACCTATTACTGCACTTTAATACATGAGGTTGAGTTACCAGAACAATTGGCATGACAATAGAAAAAGCAAAAGGAAGTCATGTTATAGTGGTAGGAAAGTGACTGAAACCAAGATGTCATGTATGGACCAATAACTTCAGATACTTCTTTGGATTTTGACAAGAATCTCAAATGTATATCAGGAGCACCAAACCAGATGTGGCAATAATAGTCAATGCAAATCTGGTCTAGTGCTTTTACTATATATCTGCAATCTATTGTCATATTGTCAGTTACGTTCATGAGAAAGATTGCTCAATATTAGTGAGAGCACATTAGATAATAACAGTGTGGACATAGAAATAAATAATACTGGATGGAGATTGGCCTTAAGTCATCATTACATGATTGGCTAAGACATGAAATTACCATTCATGACCAGTGTTGATTTTTATATTATAGTTTATATATATATGTATATATATATAAGAAGTGATGGATCTTTATTAATTTGAAACATACTGGGCATGAAATGCATACTACCGAGATATTCTTATACATAAAGTATACCATAAGGCATACTACAGAGGTATTCTTATACATAAAGTATACCATAAGGCATACTACAGAGGTATTCTAACACATAAGGTGTGTTGAAAATTTCTCAGCTTGACTAGGAAAAGATGCTGAAATAAATTGTGATATTTTATCAAACTTTGTAAACTAAGGTTGTCCAAGAGTTTTTCTGCACCCCCTCATCTGTATTTTGCACACGGAGCTATGCAATAGGATTTTCTTTGCAAATACTCAAAAAGACATCCGCAAAGGCGAAATAGTTATTGAACTTACTGCATTTATTTGCAGATTTTAATTAAAATTGAGGCTTAATTAATATCAAGTCATTCAAACACGTCACATGTGTTGAAAAATGTTTTAAAAATGTCGAGTCTGACAACCTGAGAGAAATGGAAGCAAAATACGCCAGAATAATAGATTTTGCATAAATAAAATCATTTAGCTTTTCGAGGTTGACAGGACGGTCGGTTGAATATCTGAGCATGGTGACATTGGGTGGAGGGGGGTGGAAGTTATGCAAGATGAATGTGAGGAAGTGGTAGCAGGAAGAGAAAGTTGGTGATCGGTTTAGAGGGAGGAAAAAAGGAACACGAATGAAGATAAATGAAGACGTTGAAGGAATATAAGAATGAAATACGAAAAGATAAAAACAACAAAGAGAATGATGAAAGAGGGATATGTATTGAAAAAGAAGAAAAATGAATGAAAATTTAAGAAAGAAAGAAAACAGAAGAGCAAGAAGATGCATTAGGAAAATAAAAGGATGAAAAAGAGGAAAGTCTGGGAGAAAAATAGAAGAAAGAAAAAAGAAAAAAATATTAAGAATGCAAAAGTAAGAAAGATGAATGAAAGATAGATGAAATAAGGTTAAAGGAAAAGAGAAAAATAAGAAGGAATAAGAATATAGAGAGAAAGAGGAGAAAAGGGAAAGACAAAGAAAAACAAGTAGTAAGGAAAAAGACAAAGAAAAACACGTAGTAAGGAAAAAGACAAAGAAAAACAAGTAGTAAGGAAAAAGACAAAGAAAAACAAGTAGTAAGGAAAAAGACAAAGAAAAACAAGTAGTAAGGAAAAAGACAAAGAAAAACAAGTAGTAAGGAAAAAGACAAAGAAAAACAAGTAGCAAAGAAACTTTCTAATCATGTATCCTCTCTTTTAGACTACAAATAAAGCTTATCAAATAGTTGGTATAATTTTAAGAGAATCTGCCCTGAATGATTATAATGAAGAATTTCAGGTTTTATGCTTTTCTAAAGAACATTCTTTTGATAAATGCCATAATATTGTGAAGGAAAGCAAAAAGAATGCACTAAGCATAAACTACAAGACAAATTGCATGATTATCAGCAAAAGGAGGAGCCCAAAATGCAAATTACAGGTCAGGAATACTAAAATCAAGCAGGTAGAGAAATTTAAATATCTGGGAAAGGTTCTACAAGAGGACAGAAAGTGTGACACAGATCTGACGACATATTGGGATGGCCAAAGATGCATTCCAAAAGCTAAGCAGAGTATTAAAAGACAAAATTTTCTTTTAGAAACAAAGAAATGAGTATTGAATTCTTATGTGACATCTGTCCTCCTATATGTCCGTGTGTGTTGGACAATCTCCTCAAAGACAAAGAGACTTGAAGCAACAGAAATGTGATTATACAGAAAGATGCTGACGATGACAGACTGAACATGTTATCAACAACGAGATTTTGGAGAGAATGGAAACAAAGTGGAATCTTATACTTAATACCAGGAAGAAGCAGTTGAAATTTCTTGGGAATGTAATGAGGAAGGAAGACTTGGAAACTGATACTCACAGGACAGATACGGGGGAAAGAGGGACAGAGGAAAGCAGGCAGAGGACAGAGTTTGGGGGATATAATCAAAAGACATAATTGCCCACATCCTGAAGGAACATGGCACATAAAAAGAAGAAAGAACATTTATATAAATTCATTTTTCTGGATGAATTGTAAAAACTACTTGGTCAGCGTCACTTGCTGTTGCCTTGACCAGTAGGCAACAATTTCTTTTTCAATAGGATTACATAAAATAAGAGGATTTAATGAGTTATAAAAGCAAAATAAAAGACATATTCAGTGAGTGGAAAGAAGAGATAATTTGAGAAGCAGATTAGAATTTAAAAGGAAGATAGAGAAAAAAAGGAAATGTGTTGCAAAGAAAAAAAGAAATAAAAAGGAAAAAGAAATAAAAAGGAAAAAGAAATAAAAAGGAAAAAGAAATAAAAAGGAAAAAGAAATAAAAAGGAAAAAGAAATAAAAAGGAAAAAGAAATAAAAAGGAAAAAGAAATAAAAAGGAAAAAGAAATAAAAAGGAAAAAGAAATAAAAGGAAAAAGAGATAAAAGGAAAAAGAGATAAAAGGAAAAAGAAATAAAAGGAGAAATAGAGAAAGAAAGGAGAAAGAGAAAGAAAGGAGAAATAGAGAAAACATGCTGGTAGAAAGAGAAAATAAAGAAAAATGCCTGGAAAGATAGAAAATCTTTGAATAGACAAAATGGGAGAGATAGTCGGGTGGAAACTGCAAAGATCCCTATATTTTGAGAGAGAGGAAGTATTAAAAAAGGGAGAAAGAAAAAAAAAAACACACAATGCTGGTAGAGAGAAAGGAAAAGAAAAAAAGAAAACTAATAAAGCAAGAAAGAGAGAGGGGATTGGAAAGAAAGGAAAACCAAAGAAAACAAAAAGTCATGTAAAGAACAGTAAAGCAATTTTACTGACAGAAAAAGAAAAAGAAAGAAAATAAGGAAGCGAGAGCGAATAGTCGGGGAAGGTGTATGAAGATGTCATTTAAAAATTCACCTTCATTTTTAGACTTGTAGGAAGTGAAAAAAAAAAAAATTCAAGGGAAAGAAAAATTACAATGACAGGTTCAAGTCTGCCTGAGGTAATAATTTCTTTATTTTCTTCATTCAGCTGTCCTTTTTTTTTCATCTTAATAATTTGAATGTTCTGACATATATCTCATTTCTTTCAATGAATATTAAATATTTGATTGGCTGAAATTGAATTTTCTAGAACTTTCAGTCCATTCCTGTAATCTTCAAAAAGGCAATTTCTTCCAGGCTTCTATTTGGTCATTATTCTATCTTTCTTTTGCCCGTAAAATACAAAGCCTTATTTACTTGTGTTCTTCAGAAATTAATAATTGCATATGTATGAAGAAAGCATTAATAACAATGCCAGCGTAATTATTTTGCAGAGGCCAGATTATAATCTGTTACGCAATTTACAGAGTGTTGGCCTTGGAAACAGGGTAAGATTTAGACATCATGGAGCCGGAGGTTATATGGAATTATACTAGCCTTATTTGTTAGCTCAACATGCACCCGTTATTATTTGAAACGCTCTTTTGCAGCCTCTTTAGATTATGTTCAAAATGTTTAGCTTGGATGTTACCAAAAAAGTTTGATATCATCATTCAGCACTTCCTAATAGTTGTCTTGTGCCTGACTTAATTGAGAGATCTGGAGTTAAGTACTAAATTTAATGGCTGTATATATAAGGTTGCTTTAAAATATTCAACATTTTCGACAAACTCTTTATAGTATTGTTTACTTAATACAAGGCCTAAGTGCCACTCATAATAGTGGGTCACTGAATGAAGTTGTAAGAGCGTAAAGACTGGAAGAAAGAAGTTCGTAATACAAAATATCAATTAACCTTGGACTAAGTTAAAACCATGGGGATAGGGGAAGCAACCTCTCGGGAGTCTGTCACACAAAGTAACCGTTTTTTAGCCGGATTCATAGCACCATTATTCAGTCATCTATTTTTCTATGTTCATTGTGCTACTTTTCAGATATAGGATAAAAAAATCTGGTTTTGAATCGATGGAACAAATGGTCAAGCAAGGAATGATGTATGAAGTGAAAATATTAATCGTCCGAAGGTAACTCGCTTAGAAAATATGCCAAATGTGGAAGAATTTTCCACCTCAGATTCCTGACTGATTGTATTTTTAACTGGAGGAAGCGAGTTTCCACGCAGCAAAATTACTAGCCAACTTGCCTAATGAAAAAAAGTATTTTCTTTTCCTGTGTGCCATTCAAACGTGCCAGTTGCTCACTGTAGAGTTATGTAGTAACAATTGTCCAATTTTCAATAATAATGACTTTTCTTTGATACGTTTTAAGTTGAGATGTTAATAGCCGTCGTGCATCCAAACAGTATTTTCTCCATTTTCTTTATTTTGATAAAATGTTTTCTCTTTCGATGCGTCATTCTAACTGCTCTCTGCAGTGTTACGCAATAATAGTTTGTTCGATTTTTCAGTAATAAAACTTCATCTACCACTATTTAAATGCGTACGAACATATTGTAAACAGGTAAGGGTTATTATATATTTATTCACGCATGTTTTCTCCATCAAAAACGCGTGAAAGGAAAAAAATCCATTTTTTTTAGTAGATTTTTCTAATATATACCCAATGTCTGTTTAGTGTTTTATTGTATTTTTCCAATAAAGTTTGGTGTATTGGGATCAAAATTGTAGACAAACTGTCCAAAGATCATGTGTTCTTTTGTTTAAGTAATTTCGAACGATTCACTCATTTTGAAGAACCAATATGGTGTCTGCATAGTAGTCAGAATTCCTTTGTCTTCATCCTGGTATCCTTTGGAAAGCTGAACTTTTGAAATAGTGTATAAAACATTCTATTGGAAATAAAAAACGATCTGATAGGAGATTGGGGACAAACGGAGAGGTTGGATTGCAGGCAGGTTGAAGAAAAAGAGCGAAAAAAAAAAAAAAAAAAAAAAAAAAAAAAAGAAAAGGAAAATAAAATGAATGGGAGTTTTAGAATAACAGTGAAATTTAAATTACCAGGGAGACCAGTCTATCCCGAATACGAGAGTAAGTGATTTATGACCAAAATCTATTTGAAGTTATACGGCCATACACACACACACATATATAAACATTTCTAAGGAATTAATACCTTTTAAAATATTTAATGCGGCATTGCTTCTTATTGTAACTCAGAGAGACTTTTATGATAAGAGATACGCAAAACCGCATATATACATATATACAAGTGTTCCGCGTAGAGAACCATATGTCGCAAATATCGACACAGAAAAGCAGAGTATAAAGAGAAACAAAAAGGAAAGGCTTTACATATAATTTGGAGATACTCCTGTCCTGGAGAAACCATTTTAGGACTCCAGGGCCGGATTCATCTATGTCTCAAAGGGAAACGGCACCATGTGATTCTATGATGCCGGGGAAGCAGATTTAGACCCACCCTAGACAGTTCTCGTTTGGTTGCTGTCCACGAACTGAAAAATCACAATATGGAGTAACGTTACGAAGCGGCCATCATGTGACCCACGTGACTTATCTCCACCAACGGAGATAAGCGTCTTCTTATTCTTACATTATTACTTTAATGCCATGTGTATATGTTGACGCTCTATTAAAAAAAAAAATAAATAAAATAAAAAAAAATAACAGAATTACATCTAATGGACCTTGCATTTGAGAAGCACAGTGGTTCTCCCTGGCAGGGTTCGAACCTACGAGAGTATAATTTATTTATTAAAATTGTAGAATATACAGGTTGGCTGATATAATTTCCACTGTAAAAAAAAAAAAAAAAAAAAACACAGACCGTCTACTCAGACACATGTATCGTAAAAATATAATGCTTACGTAATAACATATCATCAGAGAGATAAACTACGAAAAACAATGAAAACTGATGACTGTTATCGCATGAATCTGAGTAGGAGATTTTGATATTATTATAAAAATATATTAATATATTTTTAGACTGTCGATATTGGCATTAAGACATCAATATATTTTAAGCTTTTATCCTATTTTAGGCCTTTGCTATTATTCTTACTATATATATATATATATATATATATATATATATATATATATATATATATATACACACCGGGTGTAACAGAAAAATTGCACATTCCACAAAATGTTTAATATCAAAAAAACACTAAATTGAATTTTTTTTCCTGGATACGAAGTTTAACTATCTTGACACCATTTGTACTACGAATAAGTGAAAAACCCTTCGAGTTATTCAGCTAGAAACAGAACAGGTTAAAATCGTTTTGTGTCAGCCTCACTTTCTTCACAAATGAGCAATGGTGAGAGGAAAAAATCGTTCAGGTTTTCAGTAATGGTACCAGCATTCATACTTTGGCTTCCATCTTCCATTCAAGAACCATCAAGAGAATGGTAAATAAGTTTAAAAAATATAAGTAAAAAAATTAAATAAGAAAAAAAAGAGAACAGTAGAGAGGAATCATTATTTCAACTTAGACCTAAACAGATCAATTAGAAATGATCCAATTCAATCCATAAGACGTTTGCCACATGAGAGAGAAGTTTCATCTATGACAATCAAAAGAGCAGTGAAAAAGACTTGAAAATGAAATTGTGAGGCACCTTGTTACTCCAGGACAGAAATAATATATATATATATATATATATATATATATATATATATATATATATGAGCTTTATTTTAATCCTTCATGAGCTTCCGATCCTTAGCTATGATTAATTAATGATAAACATGTCATTTTCGTTTATGACCGTTTTCATCACGAAATTTCTGTTAAGCTTTGGGACTAATTATACATTCTTATTGCTTATAGTAGACTCCAATAGTGTTATAAAAAATACTCAGAGAATTCCAATATCTGATCATTTCTAAGATACAACGGTTAAAATCTTAATCTAACAAATGGACAGCCGATATACAATTACAAGAATATATATATATATATATATATATATATATATATATATATATACACACACACTTGATTATCGTTATATACGCTGAATAGGAGATTTTGATATTATTGTATCAATAATATTATTATGTTATAAATGATTATTAGTTTTGTCAATCCCTCAGTTTATTTTATATTATAAGCTTTTATTTTATGCTTTAGCTTTATTCTTACTATATGTATGCATGTGCACGCACACACACACACACACATAGAGCACTTTGCTTAGTTATTTTTACTTTACTCGTGTCGGAGGTTTTTTCTTTGGACTCTGGCAGTTGGACTTGGATTCTAGACGATTATTTTCGCCGGAAATACATGTTAGTTCTTTCTTTTTTTTTAACCCCCACCCCTGGTTATTGGTCTGTTCACTTACAAGCTAAAACACCCAAGGTTTTGCCGGACGAGTATACCTGCTTATATTCATAAGATTATTATTATATATTATATATATATAATTTTTATAATAATAATGCTCTGTAAATTTACATTGAGCACTATTTTGTAAAAATAAAAATATCTATAAGAACACTGGATTATATATCTTACTGTTCTTTCTTTATATATATATATATATATATATATATATATATATATATATATATATATATATATGTGTGTGTGTGTGTGTGTGTGTGTAGGTATAGTATCCGAAATGAATGTGGAGATAATGAGACAAAGTGGAAAAGCTTATAAACGACGCGTTTCGTCCAAGCGTGTTCAGTTCGGGATGAAAGTTAAAACGGACATTGTGCAGGAAATAAAGCCTACAAAATCCACAAATAAGAATAATCCGAACAACCATTAAAAAAAGTAAGCACATTATACAAATACCACCTCCATAAAAACGATACCAACGAAAGTAACTTATCCAACGTTGACCTAAATTCACCAACACCACCTTTAAAACAATAAGAGATAGAAGCAAACAAGATAGCAACAAGAACAGTACAGAGGTAGGAATATACAGAATATATTTACAGAATAATAAAGTAACATTCAGAAACCTCACAAAAATTATA